GTTCGTCCCCCCTTCCTAAGACACCTCTCCTGGGGTGTGACAGCAATTCCCTGCCGGGGGCTGGGGAGTCCCAGCTGCTGAGCGTGGTCCGGGGGGGGGACCCTAACGCTGAGATGCGGGGGGAAACCCAGCTTGCTCTTCTCACTTTGACACATAAATCTCCATCTCATTTAACCACCTGACTCCTGGAGTTGGGCCCTGAAAAAGGAAAAGAGAAACCCTAGCAAATCTCGGTTGACGCTCTGCTGTGATATATCGCTGTTACGTGTCCCAAATGCTACAGCTGGGCAGGAGCCGCAGCCGATCCCAGGATCCCGGCACACAGCTGGCTGTGATCTTGCCTTCTCTCTTGGAGAAAGCCCCGGCTTTTAATACGATGTCAACATGAACAGCTGGCTGAGGAAATGCAAATTGAAGCTACATTTCTGAGCAGCTGACACCGCTGCAGGCGGCCGGCACGCAGAGCTGTGTGTGGCTGTAACTGGCCGGGCGTAGAGTCCGGCACAACGGGGTGTTACAGGGACCTGGGCAGAGAAGAAGGGGTGTGCCAGGGCTGCTTTGAAACTTTCTCCCCATTTTTTTTTTTTTTTAAATTAAAAAAAAAAAAAGGCTTATTTTTTTCTGCCGAAAAAAGCAAACTCATCACTAAACCAAAACACGATACTGCAAAAGGGAAAGCAGCCAGGCGCATGGCTCAGCTTTGCTTTGCCTGTCATTCCGGCCCTGTGGCTTTCTGCAGGAGCTGGGGGGGCTCCACCGGTGTCCCCCCCACCCTGCCTTGCCTGCAGCGCTGCCGGCGCTCCCCGACCCGCCGTGCAGCATTGCAGCAGCCCCGGTGCACATCTGTCCCTGCGCCTGCTCTTATCTGCTGCGGCTCAAACCTGCCCTGCAGCATTGTGAGAGTTCCCTTCGATTCATTAAATTTTTTTTTTTTTTCTTTCCTCCCCACCCCTCCTGCTCTGCTTTCTAGCACAAAGTGCCCTGAAGCTTTGCAGCTTTTTCCAGCATTTTTCTCCCTCTCGGTGTCCCCCTCTGGTTCTCCCCCCATGCAGATTGCAGCCCCCCGGAGCGGGGCAGAGCCCCGGCGGTGGGTGGGCAGGAAGCTCGGAGCTGCCCTGGGACCAGTGTCCAGCTTGGCTTTCCCAAATGCAGGCCAAGAGCATTAAAGCCCACACCATAAGTAAACAGTGGAGAAATTATAGGTCCAGGGTTGGGTCATGAGCTTTGCTCTTTTGGTTTCTTGCAAGGAAGATATCCCCGGGATGCTTCCAGCTGGAAGGTGGAGAGGGAGGGAGAGGGGGGAGCTGAGCACGGCTGTTTCGGGACAGAAATGCCACCACAGACCCCCGAGAGCAGCTGGGGCTTTGCTGCGGCTCATTGTGGTGCTGGTTGCTTGGGATTGTCTCGGCTCTGTCCCGCTCCCGCCCTCTGGTTCTCGCTGCGCCCAGTGCAAACTGGGGCCGGGGGGGGATGCGAAGGGTCCCTCCAGGTCCAGACCCCCGGAGAAGCGGGCAGGCAAAGGCTGTCCCGTTTTTGGGACGTTTTCCAGCTTGTCGCTGGGTAACAGCCCAACCCACCCACACGAGCATCAGAAAGACATTAACCGGTTTATTGAATTGTTAGTCTGCAGCCGGCTGCCGCTCTCGGCAATGCCGGTGACGGGCCTGCCAAACTCTCCCCGGGGCTCCCGGGCTCTTCCTCGCCATAACGCCGGTAGCTGCGTTTGTTCTCCTTTCCAAAGGAGCACCAAATCCAAAAGTTGCAGCGGGCAAAGTCCGAGCGGGGCAGGGGAAACCCGCCACGTGCTGCAGAAAAAATGGCTGGGACCAAAGTGTTCCCACCAGCCGCGGTGGCTGATTGCACAGGTAAATAGTGACACTGACCCTAACTAATGCACAAAGTAAATGAATCCCTTTCAGTTAATTGGCTTAAGTGTTACTTGTAGCAAGAGTAAATATTTTACAACTGTGCGGAGGCTTTGCATTGCAGTCCTGAGCTCTTTGTGCTCTGTACCGAGCAGCGTCCCTGCCCCGAGGTGCCCGCGATAAGCCCGGCTGCTCCGGGGAGCGGGTCTCGCTGCTGGGGTCGGGGGTGGGCTTTTCGGCCAGGGAAAGAGGCTGGAGAGAAGAAACTGTTGGCAAAGTAACATTTGATCATTGGTCTGGTAGGGTTTATTAACCCCGAGGTGTCCTGCAATGTGCTCGGCTCGCGGCGCGGGGCTGCCCCGTGCTAAATGCTGCTTCTGTGAAGAGCCCGGGTCAAGTTATGACCTTTTTGCAGAAGTTTTCCTATGTGGATAACTGTGCCCATGGAGGGGAGGGGACCCTCGTGCCGTCACCAGTGACCTTTGCAATGATGCCGGCAGCGGGTGCGTGCTTCTCAGTGTTGGGAACCAGCGGGGCAGAGGACTGGCGAAACTCAGCACAGCTGTGCCCCAGGGCAGGGGTAGGGCAAGCGATGCTGCAGGTTGAGGTGGTAAAGCTGTGGGCTGGATTGCCCGGAGCGCCGAGAGCTGCTTCTGCGTACCAGCGGGGTTACAGACCCCTGAATTTGGAGCCGGGATTTATTTGGGATGGGGTTGATCGGAAGAGCAATGCCTGGCCAAGTTGGGGTGCCTGCGGGAGAGCAGGGCTCAGGGACGAGCAGTGACATTGATCTTTGAGGATGATAACGTGTCCCGCTTGGCTGTTCAGGGGATTTCCAGCTTTTTTGGGGGAGAATTTCAGCAGTTTTGTAAGAATGACCTGAAAGCCCAAACCCCCGTGGCAGCTCCTCTCCCCCCCCGGCTAGTGCTCAGCATCCTCCCAAACCGGAGCAGAAACCCCCCCGGCCGCGGTTTGGGGACAGCTGGAGCTCGGTTGTCACCTTTGGAGTTCACACCCCGAATTGTCGCCCTGGCCGAGTCCGGTTTTGCCCGTCTCCGAATCCCATTGCTTCCCCAGCATCTGCCAGGGCTTCCCTCGCTCTGACGGCTGGGCTCCGGACCTGCCCTGATAAAGGAGGGGGGACACCCCACGCCCCATCAGTGAAGCCAAAACCATCCTGGGGCTTCAGCGTGGCCCTGGCGTTGCTTAATAAATCAGACACTGGTGGGGTGTTTAACTTTTAATACAATGTATATTTATTGCAAACAATAATATACAAAAAAAAAAAAGGTAAGTTTCATAAAGAGAAGGATCTTGCAAACAAAACAAAACAAACTTACCTAAAGCCAAAATATGATTTAAATGACAGGTCTTTTAAGTTACAGAAATACTTTAAAAAGATCTGCTTTTATACAGAAATAGAAAGATGCCATATTATAAGAGTGCTTTAAGATTTTTTTTCTTCTACTGAATCCCTAAAAAAAAAAAAGTTAACAAATATATCATTTTTTTAAATAAAAAAAGTTTGCTGTCTTTTTTAAAAAGCAATCCTTAACTGTTCAGCCACAGCTTCACCAAAGTCAGTGTCCCCACCTCAAGCCAGTTTTGGGGGTGGAAGGCTAAAACGGTGCCGCCCCTGCGGCACGGCCGGGGCGTTGGGTCTCGTCCTCGCACGAGCTCGTGTGTCCCAGAGAGCTGAGGCAGAAAACAAGGCAAATGATTCAGTGATACGCTACATTTGCAATCTTTAGTTTGTACAAAATTTTTTTTTTCCAGTTTATCCTTAAGACAAAAGAAAAAAGGAAGAGCACAAGTTTGTACAAACCCAGGACACAGATTCCAAAAAGAATAATAATAATAATAATAAAAAAGAATTAAAGAGATAAATAAAGGACTGGTTACAGTTTAGACCATAATTTAACAGGCACGGTTACCTTCCAAATAATGCTCCGACAAATACAATCGCTTTTGAAAGGACTTAAAAATAGGAGGGAGATTTAAAAAAAAAAAAAAAAAATTGTGATTAAAAACTGCTCTTCTCACAAAATAAATAATTTAAAGTATCTGTGATGTCCCGTAAGCAGAGAGGAGCCCCTGGATGGGTTTTGCATCAGGCCTAGGGTGGACTGGAGGTGGTGGAGGGGGTCGAGCTCTGCCCCCCCAGCCCCAGGGATGGGCAGAGCTGGGGACAAGTGATTATCACAGGGCTGCTTTTAAGGCTTCTCAACAGCACTTTTTGCTGTTTTGGTTTGTTTTTTGTTTTTTTTAAATCTTTTTTGTTTTTCTTTCTTAAGGCTCAAGGTTATTAAAAAATAAAGTTAAAAATCTCCTCCTGGCTGGTTTTGCTATTAGTTAGAAAAATAAAGCCTCTCCCATGCTCGTCCCCACGCAATCTCAGCTCGCATCTCCCGCGCCGCAGAGCTGACCATTGCTCAGCCTGACGCTGGCCACTTAACAGAGCTTTGTTCTGAGTTAAAAGCACGCCGTTTTGCTTTTTTATTTTTATTTTTAGAGAGAAAGACACTTATCTATACAAAAATACCTCTGACTGCAAGAAAACCTAGGACTGCTCCACTAAGTGTTGTTTTTTTAGCTGTTGGAAAAATAAGAGCATTTAAAAAAATCTCTAAAAAATATGTATAAATCCCCTCAAATTGGTAACGAATCATACACAGTACATACTAAAAAATATTTAAAATAGAGAATATTCCTCACAGAGGACTCTGAGTTTTCTCTTTTTTTTTCCCCCCCCTTTTTTTTCTTTTTCTTTTTTTTTTTTAATTACTGCTAAAAAAAAAAAAATCATTACAAAAGTCCAGAGAACAGACAGCTGAGCTGGTTGGTTAGAAATCTCATCTCCATGCCGCGCCCTGGAAGCTGAGTTAAAGTCCAGTCCTTGGAAAGTCTGTCCCGAGTTTTGCCGGTTCTCGGAGCGGTCTGGCCACTTCCTGGAGGATGCTGTAGTGCAGAAGGCTCGAGGCGCTCTCTCCTCCCCGCCAGCTTTAACTTTAGCGTCTTTTTTTTTTTTAATTATTATTTTCATTTCGAAGAAGGAGAAAGTCTGAGGAAGTTCTCCGTTCTTCTTGTTGCTTCTTTCGTGCTTTTTTGAATATTTTTTTTTTAGTTTTTTTCTTTTTTTTTTTTTTTTTTTTTTTTTCTTGGGAAAAACAAAAAAATGGCTTTAGGGTCTGGTGAGCTGTGTGTAGACGGGCTGTTCCCAGTGCTGCGGGCTGTGGGTCTGGGGGATGGAGGGGACCCCCGAAGTGTCTGCGATGGGGGTGTACATGGGGCGCTGCGTGGGGTTCATGTAGGTGAAGGTGGAGTAGAGGCTGCTGCTCTGGCCGGCGGCGTGGCTGTAGTAGGAGCTGGAGTTCTGGTGGTCGGTGTAGTCGTACTGGGAGCGGGTGATGGTGGGGTAGGAGGAGCCGTAGTGCTGGAGGTTGAAGGAGCTGTAGTTGAGCTGCTGCGGGGAGTGCTGCTGCTGCTCGCTGTAGTGGCTGGGGCTGAGCTGCTCCGTCTTGATGTGCGTCCTCTGCTGCGCCTGACCCTGCTCCCCGCTCAGCGCCGGCAACCCGTGCTGCGCCGGCGGCTGCGGCGGCGGCGGCTGCGGCGGCGGCTGCGGCTGCTGCTTGGACATCCAGACGTGGCCGGCCCCGGTTTGCGAACCCGCCGTGCTGCTGATGCCGTAGCTGCCGGTGTAGGTGACCTGACCGGTTTGCCCGTGGGTAACCGGGACCCCCGGGTGACCGTTCGGGGGAAGGTACTGATCGAACTCGTTGACGTCGAAGGTCTCGATGTTGGAGATGACGTCGCTGCTGAGCTCGCCGATGTCCACGTCTCGGAAATCGATGTGGGGCGGCTGCCGGCCGCCTTCTTGCAGAGGGCGACCCTCCCGCTTCAGGTCCTGCTTGCCGGGCTGCGCGTCCGTCTTGGGGGTGGTGGGGGGCGTGGGGGGGCCCTGCGATTGCCCTGCGGGAGGAAGAGGAAAAAAAAAAGGCCACGGGCGTCAAGGAGGGGTGTCACCCCCGCGGGTCCCCGATAACGCCGTTAATAGTTAACCCGCGGCCGGGCGGATAACAGCGCGTCGCTTCTGCCAGCGGTTGCGGCGGGGAACGCAAACATCTCCAGGTGCGAGGAACGCAGACGCGAGCCCTATCAGCGCCGATCTGTTGCGCCGGGTAAAGTTGCCGAGCCTTCAGATGTGAGCCGCCAGAGCGGGGCCATCTTTTGGTTTATTTATTTATTTATTTATTTATTTCTCCAAAAAGGATGGGTTCACGTTTCTGCTGGCAGAGGGGTTGGAAGCGGCCGCAGGGGCTGGCACACCGGGGTGAGAGTTGCTACGGGCAAGGCTCGTGGGCAGCTCTGCCCCTGTCGTCCCCTTCTCACTACATTTCTGGGTCTCCCTCCTCCCCCCCCCCGCCACTTACCCAATCCCAATTTCAGCCTGGTTTGGAACACAACTTTTTGTAGGTAGCCGTGACTTACCACCCACTCCCCAAACACCCTGCCAAAAAACTTTCTGGTACCCACCCGAGTGCTCCCCGGGGGAGTGCACCTCGCTGATGCTGGAGGACGACTGCGGGGAGTCTGCCTGCAGCGCCTTGAAGATGGCGTTGGGGGAGATGTGGGTTTGCTCGGAGCCTTCCTCCTGCTCCGACTGCCCGTTCTTCACCGACTTTCGCCGCCGCGGCTGGTACTTGTAGTCGGGATGGTCCTTCTTGTGCTGCACCCGCAGCCGCTCGGCCTCTTCCACGAAGGGACGCTTCTCGCTCTCGTTCAGCAGCCTGGAGGGGGGGGGACATGGCGGGCGAAGGGTCAGCTGCAGCTCACGAGGGGGGGGCATGAGGGACTCCCCCCAGCCTAAATCTCTCCCAGGGATCCCCCCCGAATGACAGTGCAAAGCCCCCCACGACACCGAACGCCCTGGCTGGGGCACACACTGGCTGTCACCCCCGCTTCTTGCTCCCCCCGGATTGTTTCGGTGGCTGAACAAGAGGTGCAAGAGTCACAGCAGGGTCTGGCCCTCGCCCTCCCCGTCCCGTCCCTGGGGTGCTTTAGGTGACGACCCCATCGCTGCCTGCCAGGGCCAGGTTTGCTCACTCCTTTCTCCTCCCTGCCTCAAGAGCAGCCGCAAATTTAGGATTCCCCCCCCCCGCCCTCCGCCCCTTCTGCAGTCACAGAGTAAGAGGCGGCCAGGTGACTCACTTTCCTTCTGTTTTTCTCCCCTCCCTGCCTTATTTTGGAAGTCGGAGGGCACCCAGCCATGCGCCACTCATCGCACCCACCCACCCGGGGCTTGGCACAGCATCGCGGGCGCTCGCCCTGCGCCCGGCTTCTGCCCCCCAAACCACCCCCCCCTTCCTTGCCCCGCATCGCTTCTCCTCCCGGGGCCAAGCTGATGCAATCCAGAAAACCATCATTTCCTCTGGACAAGAGTACAAACAAACAAACGCCAAGGCAGGCCCCGCTCGCCTGGCCGTGGGGGCTCTGTTAGCCCCCCTCCTGCCCCGTGGGGTCAGCTTCCACCCGGGACATTGCTCAAGGGAAAGAAACCACTTGCAAGCCCAGAAGGCAGCCAGAGGGAACTACTTTCCCTGCTTTCCCCTTACTATTCTTGGCTTCTCCTACGCCAACCAAGTTTGCCGGCACATGCAAAAGTTTCCGGCGACTTTTCTGGGCTTTAAACCATCCATCCTCTCCCTCCTCTGACTGCTGGTAGAGGTTAGAGCAAACTTTGCAGGCTCCAGCCTCCCTCCCCAGCATCCCCAGTTTCCCCCCTTTTGCTGACCCGACTCGGCCTCCCCGCTCACCTCCAGAGCTTGCCCAGGGTTTTGCTGAGCTCGGCGTTGTGCAGATGCGGGTACTGGTCGGCCAGCTTCCTTCGGGCCGCCTGTGCCCACACCATGAAGGCGTTCATGGGTCTCTTCACGTGGGGCTTGTTTTTGCTGGATCCGTTCACCCGGACCGGCATAGGGACCAGGGTCCAGTCGTAACCCTTGAGCACTTGGCTCACCGCCTCTCGGATGCACACCGGGAACTTGTCCTCGTCGCTCTCCTTCTTCAGGTCCGGGTCACCCTTGGGGAAGGTGTTTTCTTGGGGTCTGGTGTTCTCCGTGTCCGAGCCGGATCCAGAGGGGCAGGGAGACCCGGCGGAGTCATCCGACATGGTGGGGCTGGGGGCGTCGGAGATACATTTGTCCTGTTCTTCTGTCATTTTCATGAAGGGGTCTAGGAGATTCATGCGAGAAAGTGGCAGAGGGGGGAACGGGGGGTGAAAAAATGAAAAGTAAAAAAAAAATCAGGTGGCTAAGGGGCAGGGAAGGGTTAAAAAAAGTAAAACTAGGAGAGGCGAAGTCTCCACCAGCTTGAAGCCGGGCTGGGGAAGAAGAGGGGGAGAGCTGGAAAAAGTTTGCAAAAGTTTGTTTTTTATTATTGTTATTTCTCCCTACCCCTCTTAAGTCAAAAAAACACCACCAAAAGAAAAAATATCAACGACCCAAAGCCACAAGGCAGGGGGGGAAGAAACTTTTGCAAGTTGCAGGAGAGAAAGGACGGCAGGAGGAGGGTCGGGGGGGGGGAAAAAACCCAAAAACCCCCAAAAACCCCGGAGCG